GCTAACAACTGTCCGTAACTCCAGTTCCAGGGGATCCAACAGCCTCATCCGACCTCCACAGGCATTGCACGACACGGGTGCACTTACCTACAGGCAGGCAATACACACATAAAAAAAAATAAAAAAAAAAGAAAAGAAAAGAAAGAAAATAGGGCTACATGCCTTTAGTCCCAGCACTCCGGAGGCAGAGGCAGGTGATCTCTGTGAGTTGAGGCCAGCCTTGTCTACAAAATAAGTTCCAGACCAACCAGGAATACAGAGTAAGACACTGTTTCACACATACAAATCAATTAATTAAATCAAATTAAAATTTGGAAGGGAAGAGCTAAATAAATATATAATTTAGAAAAAAAATTTACTCTCTTTAATTATATAAGTATTTAATTTCATTATAAACTCAAATGAAGGAACAAATTCAGGGGTTGAAGAGGCTTAGGAAATAACTTTTTACAATGATGTCCAGATCTAAAAATAAATATTTCCTCCTGGGCCAAAAGTCTCAGGAAGCTATTGGATATCTGCTATCTCCTCACCTTCTCCACATTCAAAGCGCACAAAGTCCACTACAGACACACCCTGGGGCTGCACATACTGTCCCAGTGTGATAGAAGGATCCAGCAAGTACGGCTGGGACAGCATCTTCGTCTCGGTTTCTCCTCCAGGCTCATCTTCCAGGGAGCCAACAGAGAGAGGGGCCATGCCCACCACATGCTGTCCCAAGCGGCGACCAATGTCCTCCAAGTTTGCGTTCTGCTCAGAAGCCTCGCAGATGACCAGGGCCCCGTACTTCCCCAGCACTAGGTTATGGAGTGAGGGGCTGTGCATTACTCCATGCACATAAGAGCCAACATAGAACCCCAACGGCACTTTCACCCAGGCAGCTCGCTTGAGAGTCATGTTTTCTCCCAGCTTACCTATAAAAGAGAAAAACCAGACAATGAGCTCACCACTAGACTATGACAAGTGTGGTGAAACCAACACGGGCACCGCGGAGGACAAGCCTGGAAGGCGAGCCTTCTGTGTCTGCACTAGATCTGCAGTAAGACAGAAAGACACAGGTTCCAGCTTTTATTCAACAAGGAAAAGGGGTGACAAGAGGAGAGTCTTTAATGCAATACCAACTACATGCTGGGCACGCTAGTTAAAACAGAAGCTGAGCTGGGCGTGGTGGTGCACGCCTTTAATCCCAGCACTTGGGAGGCAGAGGCAAGCAGATCTCTGTGAGTTCAAGGCCAGCCTGGTCTACATAGTGAGTTCCAGGCCAGCTGGGGCTATGGGAAGACCCTGTCTCAAAAAGACCAAAAAAAAAACCACAGAAGCTGAGTAGCACAGACTGGCCTTTCAGTTCTGCCTCTTCTTGGCTCTACAGGCAGGAAGGCTTTTGGGCATTTATTAATTTATCAAGCCTTTGTTTCCTCGTCTATACAATGGAAATGATACTACCTACCTTTCAGGGTTATTGGAAGAAATAAGGGTAACATATAGCCAGGTGTGGTGATGCATGCCTTTAATGCCAGCACTTAGGAGGCAGAGGCAGGAGGATCTCTGGGAGCTCTATATAGAGTTCCAGGCCAGCCAGATCTACACAGGGTCCCTGTTTAAAAAAACAAAAACAAAAACAGGTGGCATGTAAAAAAAGCATTTATTATAGTATCTTGTATGCAGAGAAGACTCAGAACCTGGCTAAACCATTATACTAAACTTAGGCTTAGAGAGTTTAAGTAACCCACCCAATAATACATGGCAGGGCTGGAATTATAACTAAAGTCTGACTTGAAAGCAATTAAGCAATTTTCCTCCCACCAAATCACTGTCTCCCAAATGCTACAATAACTCACACAATACAACTTCCAATAACCCATTATATCTAGAAAAGAGTTACAATTAAAAAGCCCCAGAAAATTTAAACTTCATGTCATTTGATAGTTTCAACTTCCTCTTGTCAAAAGTAAAAAGATAACATTTTTCAGAACTATGAAAATCAAAAACAGATTCTAGTTTTCCCCGTTTTCTCGGGTCTTTGTTCTAATAGTCTAAATAAACTGAAAAATAGGAAGGGATGGGAGGTGAAACCAAGGGATCTGGACAAACGCAATGGGACTAGCCACAGTTACATCTAAGTTATGGAAGGTAGGACTCAGAAACCCAAACCAAGTAAGTATAATAGCTCAAAACTTCTACTCAATAGTTAATTAGCAGAAACTGGCAAGGCTGAAACCCCAACTCTTCCCAGATTTCTTAATACTTCTGTCGGCCTGGTTTCTCACTTGTGACTCACTCAAACACAACTACAAGATTACCTGATAAAAACAGAACTGATGTCTTGACTGGAAGCTTTGGACAAGAACAAGATTCCCAGCAACCCAACCCAGCCTTGCTTCCCTCCCTCCATCAAGGACACAGGGAAAGAACCCAAAGTCCAACAATGATCCCGATGTCCTCGTTCTGAAACTATTGACCTTTGCAAGTTCAGGGCCAGATGTTTTGAAAACAGGAATCTAATCCCCAAAATAGATGACCTTAAACTTTTTTACCTTTAGTGCACTTTCCCTGAGATGTAGTCTACTGAATGTCAAAGGGCCATCTCATCTCTGCCTTGTAACAACATGCTTTATTTGATCAGCACAATGAGGAAAATAATCTTAACTGATTGCAAACAACTAAAAACTGGGAGAGTTAAGCATATCAAACCACTAAACAAACACTGTGAGAGTTTAGTATATAAATTTAAGTTCTTTCTAAAAAAAATTCAGAAATTCTGATCACACCAGAACTCCAGTTCCTCCAATACAGTAATTGGGAAGAGCTTGGTAGTGGTGTCTACTCTTCAGGATGCCACTGCTCCCCAGCACCCATTTCCCACACTCAAATAATCTAGCCCTGTAGGCACATGATTTTGAAAAACAATATTTTTTTTGAGACAGGGTCTTACTACATAGCCCTGGCTAGTCTGTTGCTCATTATGTAGACCAGGATGGTCTCAAACTCACAGAGATCCTCCTGCCTCTGCCTCTTGAGTGCTTGGATTAAAGCACGTGCCATGCCCACAGAGTTATTTTTTAATTTACTTATTATTTTTAAATTTATTATTTTTATTTGGTATATATGAGCATACCATCTGCATGTATGTAAGTTCACCCATGTTGTGCAATGCCCACAGAGGTCAGAAGAGGGTGTCAGATTCCCTAGAATTGGAGTTATGGACCTGGGTCCTCTCCAAGAGCAGCCAGTGCTATTAACTGAGTCATTTCTCCAGCATCACCCCATCTTGTAATATAATATTTTATATTTATTCTTGGAGAATTTTAACACACATACAATGTATTTCCACCATACTCATCCCCCACTTCCCGCTCCAGCTACTCCTGTTTTGAGCTTGCAATTCTTGAACTAGATTTGGAGGGAAACCAAAGATACCAGGAAAACCAGACCTTAACTACCAGTTTCCAGAATCCTTACAGATACTCACCAATTGCTAATGCTAAGTGATCCTTGAGAGAGCCTTCTCTGTCAGGCCCAGCTGGAAGTCCAGAAAGCTCAGAGGAATTCAGGAAGCCCTAAGGGAAACAAATGTAGGTCAGTTCTACTCTGCTAAAACCATTTAGCAAACATGCAAACCAGCTTATATTCAAGAAAATGCTTAAGACAACTAATTATAGAGATGATACTTCCAAAGTCAAGGATGCTAAGAATTGATAATAACTTCAAATACCTTACTCTACTACTGCACTGACCCCAATTCCATTCTACTCCCACCCTCTAGCCTAACAGAATTTTCTAGAAACCAGCAACAGTCTTTTCAAGCACTCATAAAATATTAACACAGCAGACTTCCAGACTGTTGCTGGGAATGCAAAATGGTGCAAGTGCAACAGAGAAGTGGACAGAGTCTGAGAATTGATGTTTAGCCTTTGACTCTGCAACTCTAGTTCTAGGAATCTGATAATACACTTCCTCTTTTGTTATTGTTGGGTTTTATTTTATTTTATTTATTTATTTATTTATTTATTTATTTATTTATTTATTTATTTATTTATTTAATTTTCTGGTCCTTTTGAGACAGGGTCTCCCTGTAGCCCCAGCCGGCCTAGAACAATGCAGACCAGGCTGGCCTCAAACTCACAGAGATCTGCCTGCCTCTGCCTCCTAAGTTCTGGGATTAAAGGCATGCTCCACCACATCTGGCTCTGTTTTGTTTTTCTAAAACAGTGTCTCATTATGCAGCCTTGGCTAGCCTGGAACTCGATACAAAGACCAAGCTAGCTTCAAACTCACAGAGAGCTACCTGGTGATTAAAGATGTGTGTCACCATGCCCAATTGCTGTAGGTCTTTATTGTTTTTTTGAGGCAGGGTCTTACTCAGTAATCCAGGATGGCTTGAAACTCACAATGTAGCCTAGGCTAGCCTCAAACTCCTGGTAATCATTCTGCCTCAGCCTCCCAAGTGTTGAGATTATAGGTATGCACCACCATAATCAGCTTGATAAACTTCTAATGATACAGAAGTACGCATGTTAAAACACACACACACACACAATCACTGAGCAATCATTTCTATTAGTAAATTTTGGAAAGACCCTAAATGCCTAAACACAGGAGACTGGTTAAACAGCTCCAGGCACAGCCATGCAACAGAATTCTATGCAGCTATAAGACAAAGGAATGGGGGTGTGATGGAGCATGCCTGTAATCCCAGCACTCAGGAGAAGGCAGAGAATCAGAAGCTCATGGCCAGCTTCAGCTATATAATGAGTTCAAAGCTGACCTGGGCTTCGTAAGACCTTGTCTCAAACAAACACACACAGGAAGATTTTCATGAGCTGCTATGGACTATTTCCATGATTCATGCATGATTAAGTAAAAAAACAAATTAAAAGCATACATGCCATCATCTGTCCATGAAATAAATGCATATGTATGCTTATTTTTGTAAGAAGAAATACTTAAAACAATAATCCAATGAGCCTGGTTATCTACAGGAGTGGGTAAGAAGAGATTCAAGGGGCCAGCAAGAAGGCTCAATGGGTAAAGGCTCAGGCTGCCAGTCCTGACAACCTGAGCTCAATCCCCGGACCAACACAGTAGGAGAGAACTGATTCCCACAAGTTGTTCTCTGACTTCTGTGCACACTTATACCCTGGGTATTGCACAACATGGGTGTACTTACATACATGCAGGCAATATACTCATACACAAAAAATTAAAATATTTTTAAAGTAAACAAATAAACAAAACTGACCGAACAGAAAAACCCTAACTGTATTTCAAAAATTAGCACAGCCTTACAAAAGGAAGAAATAAACACACACTAAGCAACTTTTGGTTTTTCTGTTTGTTTTTAAAGATTTACTTTGTTTCAGGGCTGGAGAGATGGCTTGACAGTTAAGAGCACTGGCTGCTCTTGCAGAGGTCCCGGGTTCGATTCCCAGCACCCACATGGTGGCTAACAACTATCTTCTGACCGCGGAAGGCACAACATGGGTGCACTTACATACATGCAGGCAATACACTCATACACATAAAAAAAATTTGTATATGTGAGTGCCTGCATGTATGTTCACAGTGTACATCTGGTGCCCAAGGCTACAAGAGGGTGTCATATCCCCTGAAACTGAAGTTACAGGAGTTGTGAGTGGCCATATGGATGCTAGGAACTGAACCTTGGTCCTCTGGAAGAGCAGCAAGTGCTCTTGATCTCTAAGTCATCTCAGTCTCACAGAGCAACTTTTAATACAGTCTTTTGATCACATAACGTCAATGTAAAGACAAAAAGAACTACAAAGAAGTCTTGAACTCTCTAGTAGGTTTCTTGTTTTCAGTGGTCAGACATAGAAATTCTGAAACAATTTTAAATATTCTGTGACACTGAGTAAATAAATTAACATATTGAAGCTGAAAGGAGCCATCTTTCTGTGAGAGAAGGAAGACCCAAATACAGAATGGGAGGACTGCTTACTGCAAGTTCAAGGCCAGCTTGGGCTATATAGTGAGTTTGAAGCCAGCCTGGGCTACAGAGCGAGAGCTTATCTCAAAAAATAATTTTAAAAAGCAGAGAAGTTGGGCTGGAGAGATGGCTCAGTGGTTAAGAGCACTGACTGCTCTTGCAGAGGACCTGGGTTCAATTCCCAGCACCCACATGGCAGCTAACAACTGTCTGTAACTTCAGTTCCAGGGGATCTGGCGCCCTCTTCTGACCTCTGTGGGCACTGCATGACACAGGTGCACAGGGGTGTACCTACCTACATGCAGGCATTACATTCACACACATAAATAAAAATAATAAATATTTTAAAAGCCAGGCATGGGGCTGGAGAGATGGCTCAGCAGTTAAGAGCACTGACTTCTCTTGCAGAGGACCTAGGTTCAAGTCTCAGCATCCACATGGCAACTATGAACCATCCTTAACTCCAGGGGAATCCAAAGCCCTCTTCTGACCTCCATGGCACTGCACGACACCACAGGTGCACTCACATATACGCAGGGAATACACCCTGAACGTGCAGGTTATTGGTAACTCTCTAGCACAGCAAGAATCACTTGGTTCAGTTTCTGGCCTCAAGTGGAAGAGGAAGTGCAGCTTTACAGTCTGGGGCCATTTCTTTCTGTTGCGTCTGAAGCTTGTTCTGTTAGTATCTCAGCTGACTCTCCAACCATACAGCACTTTTAGAAGCTATTAATAAACAGCTTATACAGCAATATCCATTTATTTCCACAGGTAAACTGTGAGACAGATGTGGTAGCACATGCTTTTGATACCAGCACTCGGGAGGCAGAGGCAGGTGAATCTTTGTGAGTTCAAGGCCATCCTGGTCTACATATTGAGTTCCAGGACAGCTGGGACTACAGGGAGAGACCCTGTCTCAAAAAAAAAAGAAGTGGAGAAGTTGGGAAGATGGATCCATAGGTAGAAGTGCTTGTACTATAAGCTTGAGTACCTGAATTTGAATCCCTAGCACCCACATAAAAAGCTGGGCATGGGGACACATACATATGACCCCAGCATTTAGGGACAGAGACAGGCAGATCCCAAGAACTTGCATACATGCAGACAAACACTCATACACATAAAATAATCTTTTAAAACAATTTAACAAAATTTTAAGAAAATCTTTTTAAAACATATTATGTGTATGAGTGTGCCTGTATGAGTTTATGCACACCACATGCATGCAGGAGGTGCATGTAGAGGCCAGAAGATGGAGTCAGATCCCTCGAAACTGGAGTCCCAGAGGGCTGTTAGCCACCATATGGGTGCTGGGTCCTACAATTGTCTGTAACTCCAGTTTCAGGGGATCCAATACCCTCTTCTGGCCTCGGCAGGCACAGCACATATATGGTGCACAGACAACATGCAGGTGAAACACATATACACACAAAATAAAAATCTTAAAACTTTGGGGCTGGAGAGATGGCTCAGCGGTTAAGAGTACTGGCTGCTCTTGCAAAGGACCCAAGTTCATTTCCAGCACCCACATAACAGCTAACAATCATCTGTAACTAATCATCTGAACCCAATTCCCTCTTCTGGCCTCCATGAACATTGCATGACATGAATGCAGATAACATATGCAGGCAATACACTCATACAAATAAAAGTTTTAATTAAAATTTTTGAAAGAAAATACTATTCTTTTAAAAAAGAAAAGAAAAAACTAGAGCTTACAATTCATGTGCTTCATCCACATAACATAATTCTAGAACTAAGACTAGTAGTATAGCTTAATGGTGGAACCCTTCCTTGGCATGCACAAGGCCCTGAGTTCAAGCCCCATTTCTAAAATAATAATCTGAATGGTGTGTCCCGTGTCATATGACTACTTAATGCCAATAAGAATTAACATTTAGCAAGGGATTTTAGAAGGATAGAGATCCACAGTGGTAATCAACACACACACAAACTGCTGTGAGTGGTTGATTCCTATTTGCCTTGACAATAGGATGACCCAAAGGCAGACTGACACAATACTTTATCCTCTCATGGAGAACAGGTTTATTCTCCTGATTTTTCCTTTTTTTTTTTTTTTCCAGTCTATTTGGAAACCTTTTTCTAAGGTCATTCTGGATTTCTGAACAGGAAGCCTCAGGCAGTTCTGCTCAATTTGGCCCTCTACTCCACTGGCATTCATTCATTCATTCACCAACAATCTACTGAGTCCCATCTAAATGCTATACCTGCTCTCTTTCACTAGAGATTCAGTAATGAATAGACAAATTCTTACTTCATGAAGCTTACATCTACTGGGGAGAACACTATAATGCAATAAAGTATACATAAATAAATGACTAACATGTAAGCGCTATTAAAAAATTTTAGGGCTTGGGAAAGGGCTCGATTGTTAAAGGGCTTGCTATGCAAGAAGGACCTGAATTCCATCTCCAGGAGCCAAGGAAGAGCTAGCACAAACACAGTGGCACACAGCTATAATCTCAGCCCTGGGGAGGCAGAGAGGGAGAATCTGTAGCTCTCACTTGCCAGCTAGTTTAGCCAAATGGGTGAGCTCTATGGTCACCAAGAGACCCTATTTCAAAAAGTATGGTAGAGAGCCACTGAGGATGAAACCTAATGTAGATCTCTGGCCTTCACACAAATATGCATGCATCTACATGTGTGTACACCCACACACATCCACAGGTACACATACAAATACACACATATCACAACACACAATTATTTTTAATTAAAAATTTTTAATTTATTTTTTATTTTTTTTCAGGAGATGGGGAGTTTTATTGTGTCTTGTCTGGATAGAGGTTTGATTTTATTTATTTATTTTTTATTTATTTATTTTTTTGAGACAGGGTTTCCCTGTAGCCCCAGCTGTCCTGGAACTCACTATGTAGACCAGGCTGGCCTCGAACTCACAAAGATCCACCTGCCTCTGCCTCCCAAGCGCTGGGATTAAAGGCATGTGCCACCACACCCGGCAATTTATTTTTATTTTATGTGTATGCATGTTTTACCTGCATGCAAGTGCACCATGTGCATGCAGTACCCACAGAGGCCAGAAAAGGATATTGGATTCCCCTGGAACTGGAGTTATGGATGGCTGTTAGCAGGGATCCCTGTGGTGCTGGGAACCGAACTCAGGTTCTCTTCAATTGCTCTTAACTGTTCAGCCATTTTTCCAGCCCCCACAAATTTTTAATAAAGCAGAATAAGGTAAGGTGGTACAACAAAAGAGATTTAAGCACCAGTATGAAGAAATTGAGAAGTGTTTATTAGAAAAAGCACAGTAGCAAGGTAGAGTGGCACATGCTTTTGATCAGAGCACTCAGGAGGCAGAGGCAGGTGGATCTCTGAGTTTGAGGCTAGCCTAGTCTATATAGTGAGTTCCAGGCCAGACAGGGCTACATAGTGAGACCCTGTCTAAAAAAAAGTGGTGGGGGGGCAGTAGAGGGCAGGAGTGTAGGTAAGTAGAAGACATGTACTTAGCCTGCTTAAGTCCCTGAGTTCAATCCCCAACACCAACAAAGGTAGGGGAAGCAGAACAAATTTAGCAAGCTGGAAACAACCTTCAAACTCACTTTACTGTACGTAGAGAGTTGATCCTCAATGCCCTGACAATGTAACATGGTTCCCAGGGCTACTTGCTGGACCAGCTGTTGAAATTTTAGATTTCTGGAGACAAAATCTGTCTCACAGTTTACCTGTGGAAATAAATGGATATTGCTGTATAAGCTGTTTATTAATAGCTTCTAAAAGTGCTGTATGGTTGGAGAGTCAGCTGAGATACTAACAGAACAAGCTTCAGACGCAACAGAAAGAAATGGCCCCAGACTGTAAAGCTGCACTTCCTCTTCCACTTGAGGCCAGAAACTGAACCAAGTGATTCTTGCTGTGCTAGAGAGTTACCAATAACCTGCACGTTCAGAATTCTGAATGTCCTGAAGGACTTACTGCACATTTACAACCACTCACCTGTGGCTGCACACCATGATCACTTCACTTTCCAGCCTCTTCCAACTCCAAAAATGTGTTGTTTTGGAGATGGTCTGATGCAGCTCAGTCTGGCCTCAATACTCACTATGTAGCTGAGGATGACCTTGAACTCCTGATCTCCCTGCCTTGACCTCCCATGTGCTGGGATTACACAAATGCACCATCATACCACCCTCTAAACTACTTTTGCTGTCACCCCCTTCTTTTACTCTGAACTTATCTACAACTGCCTTTTCACCAATTATGACTTCAAGGCTCCTCTAAGCTACTTATTAATCATAAGCTTACTAATACAACACATAGAGTAATACATTAATTACTAGCTTAAAATTTTTGTGCTCTTACCTCAGCCTCATGACTGACTGCTGGGATTACAGGTGACAACCATTAATCTTAAATCTACCTGTTCTGCAAACAAGGCTACACTGGACTCAGATTCAGGAGTAATGGTCTAGGTTGCTAGGCTATTCTCACCAACACACCTGTGCATTTCTATACTTAGTCCCCACCTAATAACTCAGGCCTTTAGACTTTAACTCCAACCACCTTTTACAGTTCTCAAACAGATTTCTTTTTTGTAACTGCAACAGGCAGGCCCACACCTTTAATCCCAGCATTTGGGAGGCAGAGGCAAGAGGATTTCTGTGAGGTTGAGGTTAGCCTGGTCTACATTTCAAATTCCAGGTCAGCTAGAGCTACAGGAAGATCCTGTCTCAAAAAAACAAAAAACAAAAAATAAAACAAAAAATGCAACAGGCAGCACCGGGGAGGCAGAGGCAGTCCTCTGTGAGACCAAGGATAGCCTGGTCTATAAAGTAGGTGCCAGGCCAGCTGGGGCTACAGGGAGACCTTGTCTCAAACAAACAAAAAAGATGGAAAAGTGGGGTGGAGTGAAAGGGAACAGCTCAGCAGTTAAGGGCACTGGCTGCACTTGCAGAGGACCTGGGTTCAGTTCCCAGCACTCACATGGAGGCTAACAACCTCCCGTCACTCCAGTTCCAGGGAAAATGACACCCTCTTCTGGCCTCCATGGGCACTCCACACATGAAGTATATTTACATATATGCAGAACACTCATACACATAAAATAAATACAAATCAATCAAAAAAGACTTTATAAAGAATGGAAAGATTCTACCTTATGCCGCACACCCCAAGACACAGCTGTTTCTAGTATATGAAATCTCCAACAACTCACCTCTACTAATACAGCTGTGTTTCCTTCCCGAAGGAGCCCAATCAGGCCTTCCTTAGTCTTCCTCCCATGGAGCTTTGCAGCTTTGCTCCAGCCCTCTTTCTGGGCCTGCTTGTGCAGCCAAACCTCTGCCTACAAACAGGAAAAAAAAAGAAAATCACAGAATTCAGAAATGAGCCCTGCTCTAAAATACGTTCCAAGTCCACTGATTCTTTCTGCACCCCCCACATTCTATAACAGAAACTAGTCTATCACTTGGCAGTCTACCACTAAATACTAAATACCAGGCATTGTAGTAACTGGTGGTTTGCATAATCTTAATCTTCACAACCCTGCTACAGGGCAGATGGTAATATTTTCATTGTACAGACAAGAGTGAAACAACTCTGAAAGGTTAATTGAAATGTTCAAGGTCATAATGTATACAGAGGGCACCATCATAATCTGAGTCCTGGTGAGTCTGATTTCAAAATTCACACACTTTCAGCTCCACACAGCAGTAAATCCCATCGCAATTTTGCATGGAACACGGTTAGCCCTGGGATCCTGGGTTAATTGCTTCCAAATAAGACGAAGTCCAAAGCTGAGGTTGTCGTTTAGCCAGAATCTATCCTTGGGCTCTGTCGTTATGGGTCACTGGGCAACAGGTCACGTCTCTGCTCCCCAGCATGACCTCCCCAAGAAAGTATGAGGTCGGGCCCTAGCACCCCTTTCAAACATCACCTCCGCCCACCTGTTTGAGATCCCCGCCACAACTCTCCAGAGCTTTCTTGCAGTTTACAAAGGAGTAGCCCGTTTTCCGCCGCAGCTTCATAAGGAGCTCCTTGCTGGAGGTGGAGGAAGACAACGAGGGGACAGCGTGAAACGCGTGCCATGATGGCTGGGGCGACTGAAGCAGAAGGGACCCCGCCTGGAGGAAGAACAAAGGCATTAGCTGCCGGAAGCAGACGGGTTGGGGGAGGCCGAGCACATGGACACGGCGGGGACATCAGGGAAGGTGGGAAAGGGCAGCGCTCCGTGGATGGACCGACGCCCTCGAGGGAAGGGTGGGATGGAGCCCAGGGCGCAGGGAAGGAGGGCAGCCAGGAAGGCGGGTCAGCCCCCGCCCGAGCCTCACCGAGCGGCTCCCCGTCTGCGAGACCAGGCACAAGCGTAGGGTACGCAGCAGTGACATCTCTCCAGTAGTCGGACACCCCAGCGGCGGGCGCACAGGTGAGACGACAGCCTACGAAGCCGCGCGAGGGCCAAAAGTGTTTACGGAAAGCGTCGGTCGAGGATGCTGCCACCTGCAGGCCGGAGGAATACAACCGCCTCCTTTGCTTGGCTTATTGAAACATTTCGCAACGCAATTACCCTTGGCGGGTGAAATAAGAAAAAAATACAGCGTAAAGTTGTCACAAAATAACAATATAGTCCGGCGTCCTGCCGCACTCCTTTAATCCCAGCATTCCAGAGGCCGACTCAGGCGGATGTCTCTGAGTTCCAGGCCAGACTGGTCTACATAGAGCGTCCCAGGCCAGCCAAGGCTGCATAGTAAGACCTTGTCTGAAAATATGTAGTAATAATAATAATAATAATTAATAATAATATGTTCCAACTCCACTGATTTAATAATAACAATGCAAGCCATGTGGGTAAAGCTTTTTGTTTTCTTTATTTCCAATGTACTTTCATATTCATTATCCATTGTTGACTCATTACAAACTTGGGAGTTAGGTAGGTGGGCTCAGGAAACTGCCCAAGGTCACCTAGAGAGATGAGGTGGAGTTCCTTCAACAAACCAAATAAATATCTGTTGAATTAACAAAATATCTGTTGAACATCTGTGTGCCTGGAGCTGTTGCCAGCTTTAGGGGGATTAGAGATGAATAAGCCACAGCCCTATCCACCAAAGTGGTGAGAAAATAAGAATCAGATGAGACAGAAAGGGGCCCTTAAGATGAAAAAAGTTTAAAGATTTCAAAGGGGGAAAAAAATCACATTTAAGCAGGAGAGTCAATAAAAGCCCCCTCCCCCACCTCCCAGGAAAGGAAGCAAAGAGTTTTGACAGAGAGCAATAGCCCTTCTTATCAGCGATTCATCAAAAAAAACGGAGTCAATCAGGAAATCTTGGCATAGATTTAGGGAACAAAAAGTAGCACTTCTGTAATTTGGTTTAAAGTCCAATATAGTCAGGAAAGGAGTAGGAAATGAAACAGAAAGGTAGCTCAGATCATATGAGTATAGACTGAGTACCTAGCAGAGAAGGTCTTGCTTCTATACAGATATTGAAAGCTAATTAGAGCTCAATTTGAAAGAGTTTGAATGGAGGTTAGAATGGTACAGTCCAGAGATGACCATGTGCCTAAACAGTAAGAAAAAGAGTCCTTACCACAGTGGCTGCAGGGGGAAAGAGCCAAGAAGGGAGACAAAATAAATCAGGAAGGGAAGATTGAACTTGGAAAGAAAAACCAAAGATGAGAAGAACCTAGAACTTAGCCCATTATACTCTGCCACAGCTCTTGAGCTTTGCAAAGGATGAAGAAATCAAGGTCCAAAGGGATGGCTCTGCTGCTTATCCCCAGTCCCAGAGATAGGGGGACTTGCTCAAGTAAGAGTCTTGGCCCTTCAGGCAGGAAACAGGTAGTCTGAGGTGTCTTCGTGCCCAGCTCTCTGTCAGAAGCTGCATTCTCTGGATGCAGAAGAGATCACTGATGCTCATTCTTTCTCTTAAAAACAATTCCATAGAATGTATGATTTTTGTTTGTTTGTTTTTAAGTCATTCTGTATGACTCCAGAAGAAATGGAAGTGATTGGTGACAGTCTCTCTGCAGCCTGTTTTCCTCTCCTAACCCCCTAAAAATCTCAGCTACCTTCCCGTCCTCTTCCTCTTAAGACAAGTGCTGGGAACCTTCTTTGTGCTCTAAGCCCAATGCTTCTAGGGTCCTATGATTCTTTTTTTATATTATTTTATGTGTATGAGTGTAGTGGTTGCATGTAAGTGCACCCATGTCGTGCAATGTCCACCGAGGTCAGAAGAGGGCATTATAGTCCCCTGGAACTGGAGTTATGGACAGTTGTTAGCTGCCATGTGGGTGCTGGGAATTGAACCTAGGTCTTCTGTAAGAGCAGCCACTGCTCTTAACCACTGAGCCATCTTTCCAGCCCAGAGCTCTATGATTCTTAACAAGCAGGCACCTCTCTGCATCTTCACAAGAATATCTAGGGGAACAAAAGGGAAGAGGAAAGAGAAAGAGGCCAAGCAATCCATCTTTTTTTTTGGTCCTCATGTTTATGGCTCTGCAGTTCCGCCATTCCTTCACTGAGACAGGGGTGGAGGTCAACACAAGGGGTGATGTCAAGCAGGTCTCCCTGCCCTATGCCTGGCCCTATAGATATTGACATTCACATCCTCATCCCGCTGGGCCAGCTCCAGTTGGAAGTGCTGGGGCAGGAGGTGGTGAAAGAAGCTCTCAGTCCCATGCCCCTCTCTCATCTTGGCAGCTAGGTAGATGGTACCACGGGGCCCACACAGGTGTTGGAGGGTCCCCAGCAGCAGTGGGTAGGTAGGTTCCAGGTACACGATATCTGCCCCCAGCACCAGATCATAGTTTCCAGGAAAGACATGCTGGTCAATTCCCCAGGACAAGGCACACACCTGCACTCGGCCTCCAGCTGGCACATTAGCATGGACGTTGCCCTGGATCTGCTCTAGGGCAAGAGGCAGGTCAGTGATGGTAACGTCCCCCCCTGAGGGAGAGCAAGGAGGAGAAATGCAAGTCAGAGGGACCAACCAAGGGCTCTTGGCTCCTGCCTGGAGAGTCCAGAGACCTCAAGGTCTCAGTGTCTTGACAGCCCAAAGTCCATACTTTGGCTTTTGGTTGCCTTGACCTCAGTCTCACCCATACCACTCTCATTACTCTACATTCTACAACATCAACATTCTCTCTGAGCTAATCTTCAACCTTTCCGCCCAACACACAACACTCAGATGTCAGCAGAAGCCTGGGCAGGACTAAGCTGGAGATGAGCTATGCATCTACCCCCACTGACACAAACTGTCCTTCAGGGGCCTGGAAGCGTTCCCAGAAGATGTGACCTCAGCTGAGCCCTAAAGGACAACCAGGAGTTAGTCAGGTGGGGCTTTGCAAGCAGAGAATAGGGAGTATAAGCATCTGGGAAGAAAGATCTTGAAATATTCATGGAGGGCTGCATTCTATAAGATGCAGAAATGGGAAGAAAAGTGTCAAGACACAAAACAAGGATTATGACATGCAAAGGAGAGTCAGGCTAGATAATGAGGAATAGGTTTTAAGAGTAGAAGCAGGGGTAAAGATGATCAGATTAGCATTTCAGAAAGCTCTATTCACAAATAAATATATGTATTGAATACCTGCTAAGTGCTAGGGATACAACAGGAAGCAAAACAAAATCTCAGCTTTCCTTAAGTTTCATTCTAGATGCAGAAGCTCTTGTGATACTACAAATAACCATTCAGTCATAATTCTGATGTTACAGAACACAGGAAGTACTAAGAATTCACTCATTCATTCTCATCATGTGCCTGTATGCAGGTGTCAGGAATACAGCAGTGAACCAGGCAGACAAGAATCCACCCCCTCCATGGTGCTTACAGGAAAAAAAAGCCAAAAGCTGGGTGTGGTAGTAGCAACACATGCCTGTGATCCCAGAACTAGGGAAGCAGAGCCAGGATGATCATCAGTGGGAGACCAGCTTAGGCTACACAGCAAGACTGTCTCAAAAAGGGGGGGGGGCGGAAGCTGGGCATGGTGTTATATGCCTTTTATCCCAGCACTCAGGAGGCAGAGGAGGCAGAGGTAGGCAGATCTCTGTGAGATCAAGGCCAGCCTGGTCTACTTAGTGAGTTCCAGGCCAACTAGGGCTACAGGGAGACTGTCTCAAAAAAATAAAAAGAACTGGGCGGGGGGGGGAGGGGGAACAGATGGACTGGAGTTGTAGCTTAGTTGGTAGAGTGCTTGCCTAGCAAACACAAGGCCCTGGGTTTGATCCTCAGCACCACCAAATAGGTAGGCAGATCTCTGTGAGTTCCCGGCTAGCCAGGGTCAGGGTCGAAAAAAAAAAGAAAAGAAAAAACTGAACAGTGGCAAGAAAGAGATAGTAACAAAAGAAACGAAATAGCTAGGCATGGGGGTACACATCTGTCATCACAGCACTTGGGAGGCTGGGGCAGGAGGACCATGAGTTCAGGGCCAGCCTGTTCTATGTAGTGAGTTCCAGACCATCTGGGGCTACATCAAAAGGCCCTGTGCCAACATACAAAAATAAACTGGACTTCATGGTTCACACCTATAATCTCAGCACTTGGGAGATGGAGTCAGGAAGATTAGGAGTTCAAGGTCAATCAGGGTTATACAAGACTGACTCTCTCTCTCTCTCTCTCTCTCTCTCTCTCTCTCTCTCACACACACACACACACACACACACACACACCATCATCAAATAGTAATACATGCTACAGTGAGCACCAAGCAGGGAAAGAGGTATGAGTCATTTGATGGAGAGGGCAGGGAGCACATTTTTTAATTGGATGGTTTGGGAAAGCCTCACTAAGCAGATTTTATTTGGGAATGACTTGAAAGCAGCGATGGAGCAAACCACGAGGATCTCTCTGGCTAAAGTCTACCAAACAACAAACCAGCAAGCACAAAGACCTTGAAGCAGGACTCAGCCTGCTGGGACAGCAGGAAACAGAGGGACAAAGGAACAGGGTGAGGGAAGGGATGACAGTTGGGACTGGATCGTAACTGAGAACTTGTAAGGAGACTATGAGAAATCTGGTCTTCAGTCTATATATAAAAAGCTAAGGAGCATTTTAAATGGAGGAGCAGCACATACTGACACTTTGATTGCTGTTATTAAAAATAAATAAATAGGGGCTAGAGAGATGGCTCAGCAGTTAAGAGCACTGACTGCTCTTGCAGAGGACCCGGGTTCAATTCCCAACACCCACATGGAAGCTATGAACTGTCCTTAACTCCAGTTGAAGGGGAATCCGAATTCCTCTTCTGACCTCCGCAGCATTGCACAACACAGGTGCACTCACATACATGCAGGTGATACACTCATACACATAAAAGAGGTGAGAAACATTACCATTGAAATCTACCCGATGACTTTATAGACATACACAGGTGCCAAGGATCCAAATTCAACCAATTATGAGTAGTAATAATCAGATACATACAGATCAGAGATGCATGCGCCAACATCTCAGTGTTATTAGCAAAAACAATGAGTCTTTCTGCAAGGAACAATATATTCTAAAATTAAATGGATATCTTCTTTAAAGGTTTAAAACTCATTCAATTTGAAAGAGATGTATCTTTGCTCTGGAAACCATTATTGAGTATGTTAAAGCTGTAATGAAATGCTTCATCTAAAAAAATGTTTTAAATAGTAAAAAATAAATAAGTAAATAAATAAATAAATAAATAAATAAAGCTGGGCGTGGTGGTGCACACCTTTGATTCCAGCACTTGGGTGGCAGAGGCAGGCAGATCTCTGTGAGTTCAAGGCCACCCTGGTCTACATACCAAGTTCCAGGCTAGCTGAGGCTACAGGGAGACCCTGTCTCAAAAAGACAAAAAAAAGATAAAGTCTCACTATGTAGAACAGGCTGGCCTCACACTGAGATGCCCCAACCCGCGGAGCAACAGCGTGGGGCACCGAGACAATAAATAAATAAATAAATAAATAAATAAATAAATAAATAAATAAATAAATGACTGCAGAAGGGCAAGGTCAAAATCAAGGAAATCAGTCAGTGGGCAGATGCAGTGACCCAGGTGAAAAATAATGTTGGGTTGAACTAGAGTAGTAACAAAGGCTGAGACGTGGTCAGGTTCTGAATATATTTTGAAGGTACAGTCAACAGAGTGAATGAGAGAGAAGAAAGTTGAGAGAGAAAGAGAGAGACAGAGAGAGACAGAGACAGAGAGAGACAGAGAGAGACTCTGATTAAGAATGGATGGTTCAGAGTCATCACTCAGGAGGGAGAGGCAGGCAGATCTCTGAGTTCAAGGCCAGCCTGGTCTATACAGTGAGTTCCAGGCCAGCTGGGGCTACAGGGAGACCCTGTCTCAAAAAAAAAAAAAAAAGAGATTGATGGTTCTTGAACATTTGGCCTTACTCAGAGACCAAATTACCAGTTATGTAAATGAAGAAGGCTTTAGGAAAAGCAAACTTAAAAATGAGAGCATTTGTGGGTACACAAAGATTGACATGTCTGTCAGACAATCATATGAACATACTGAGTAGGCAGTGGGTTATGCAAACAAGTCTGGTTATAGAAATGAAAGACTTCGGTCATCAGCATAAAAGAGATGTTCAAAGCCACAAAGTGCTGGGACTGCTCAAGAGGGAGCACAGCCAGAAAAAAGAAAGGGTCAAAGGGCTACTCCTGTGCTCTGGGCACTAAAATTTCAGTTGTGAGGATGAAAAGGAATCAACAAAAGATAGGGAAAAGTATGCCAGGAGGTGGGCGGAAGCCAGAAGTGTGTGGCCCAGAAAGCAAAGGACATTTCAAGGAAAGGGGAATGCCAGTGCCAAATGCAAAGTCACTGGAGTGGGCTAGGAACTGACTCCTGGGTTTAAAACACGGGGTTGGAAATGAAGCTCACAATCTTAACCAGAGCAACTGGAGTGAGGGGACCTGGGGGAGTGAAGGTATAACTGGGACAGACTGAGAAAACATAGAAGGAAAGGCACTACAGTGACATTAATATTTGGAGGTGTTCTCTCCTGAGCAGAGAAATGGCTCAGAAGATGTAGGCTCAGTTTTGTTTTGTTTCATTTTGTTCTAAGATAGGCATTTCAGCATATGTATGTACACATATATCTTATATGCATATACACACACTATATGTATGGAGAGAGAGAATATAATCCAGAGAGAAAGAGAAAAACAAATAATGCAGGAATACAGGAGAGATAAATTGTTGGAAAAGAGTCTTGGAGCAGGTGGAAAGCTTCAGGATCTCATGGCAAATGGAAAGCTTGACCTTAGCTAGTTCGTCCATACATAATACCAAGATGGGAAGCAGTATGTACAGACAGCCAGATGAGTAAATATTGTGGCAGGAACACGTGGCCATTTTCTGAGAAAACAGAAGCAATCAAAAGATAAGAAACAGCTGAAGGTGGCCTACTCGGCCTAAGCTGGTAGCTGTCAGGGACGCCTTTCCTTGGAAGTGATTTTTGAGCAGAAAAATGAAGGATGCATATGCATCAACCAGGCAGTAAGAGAGTTTCAAGCAGAAATGCAGCCTCCATGAAGTCCTTAAGGAAGGAGATATCAAAGCAGGTTTGCAGAATGGACAGAAAGGGCACTAGATAGCTCCAGGAGGATGGGGCAGGCACTGGAAGAAGCTAGAGAGGGAGGCAGGACACTAGAAGCCATGCTAAAGGTGCTGGTTCTGCCCTGAAAGCAGTAAGCCAAAGAAAGATTTGGGCAGCGGTGGGGTGTGTTGACAATGATAATGATGATGATGATGATGGTGATGATGGTGGTAGTGGTGGTGGTGGTGGTGGTGGCTGCATTTTGAAAAGGTCATTCTCTCTGTGGGGTGGGATGAGCCAAGGTGGTAAGGGAGGGCCCAAGACTCAAGGCAAGAAGACCAGTTTTACCACTTATTGCAGTGTGAGCAAGTGATGGTGGCGGAGCTAGCAGTGGAGGAGCTAGCAGTGGAGGAGCTAGCAGTGGAGGAGCTAGCAGTGGAGGAGCTAGCAGTGGAGCTAGAAAACCACAAGAGAATCCAAAAGATTTTTTTAGGAGATAAAATCCTTAGGACATCTAATAATGGGCATGGGGATGAAAAGCAAGGACATGTCAAAGATGATGTCTAGGTTTCCCACTGGGTAGATGGTGCTTTGAGGATGGGAAAGCCTGAGAAGAAACAGGTTTGGAGGGGGAAGATCGCAGGATCATTTTGGGAGTGCTAAACATTCCCATCTGGAAGCATGAAGCTACTTATGAAAGTCCAGGCAAGAAATGGTAGTGGGTGGACTAACTAAATGTGATGGGAAGAGGAATAGACAACAGAGAAAGTGTTAAGGATGCAGGGATTGGCTAAATTCTGGAATGCAAAGGGAAAGAGCAATAGATAACACCCCCCCCCAAAAAAATAAATAAAAAGAGAGAACACCCAAGGTTTCTGACATGCAACTAAATAGGGCAAAAAAAAGCAGCAGTTAGTCTGACAGCAAGTAAAGATGGGTGCTCTCATCCAACTACAGGCCCTTCCTTCCTTGCTTCCCTCCCTCCCTCTCTCCCTCCATTCCTTTCTAAGACAGGGTCTTGCTCTGTGGCTTGGGCTAATCTTGACCTTGCAGTAATCGTCTACATCAGCCTTTTTTTTTTTTTTGTACACTATTCAATTCCTCATCTGACAGAACCCCCCCCCCGCACACACCTTGATGGATTCCCAGGCAATCGAGGTAGATCTGACCCCCACCACCTCAATATAATGCATGTACCATAGCATATTCCCAATTTTCCCTCACTAAACCACAAGCTCTTTGGGAAGAAAAAAACCCTTTTCCCTGTCAAATCCCCAATATCCAGTATGATTCTTGACACAGAGTATTTAGAACACATTCAATTGAATGAATCCATGAATAAATGTCTGCCTCTGCAAAGACTTCCCTTAATGTGACCTAGTTTTGTCCTTATGAAGAAGGACATCCTAATTTGCATGACTTCATAAGTGTTTATAAATGAGTGTTTGCAGTGTGGAGGTTTTGTCTTCTCCTTAGATTATAAGGTAAGGAACTTTTTAGTTCCCAGCTTTTTATAAAATGTGAGCACAATTGTCCTGACCCTTTCCTTTCCTAAGTCTGGGCTGTTTAATTATCACCCCTACTTCCAGAAAAATATACCCTAGCACTCCAAAACTCATAAACTTGTTTCTTCTAGCAATAAAAGCCTTAGGGATCTAATGGGGGTATGGTGGCACACATCTATAATCCCAGCATTTGGAAGGTTGAGGCAGGCAGAAAGACCAGGTGTTCAAGGTCATCTTCCAGTACATAATGAGTTTCAGGCCAGACTAGGCTGCAGGAGACCCTGTTTTAACCATCCTCCCTCCCAAAAAAGAAAGAAAAGAAGATCAAACAAAAAAGAACCTAGGGGTTGGAGAGATGGCTCAGCAGTTAAGAACACTGGCTACTCTTTCAGAGAACCCAGGTTCAGTTCCCAGCACCCACATGGCAGCTAACAACCATTGGTAACTCCACCATTGGTAACTCCAGTTCCAGGGGATCCATTGCCCTCTTCAGATCTCTGCAGGCACTGCATGAATTGAGTGCACTTACATACACACAGGCAATATACTTATTCACACAAAATTAAATAAAAATAAAAAAAATTTTAAAAGGAGCCTATCACAATATAAAATTTTGATGTGGCTTAATACCCTGTCTCTTCTCTCTCCAGGATACCCTATATATGCATCTTAACAGAACAATATGACCAAACCAAACGGGATTTTAGGTAACAGCATTCTTCATGAAATCACAAAGACAGAGAGAGAGAGAAAAAAAAATAGGAAACTCCCTCTACAAGGCCTGTCTGATTTTTATTTCCTACCTGATTTGTTTTTCCCACTCCCAAACCGACTATCCTGAGTGTTTTGAACGCCAACCAGCGCTGTCTGCCTCACAAAAGACTGGAGAGTTTGTTAAAGGGAAAGAACTGAGCTGAGTTCAAAGCCCTCTCCTTACAGGAATCCACGTAGTTAACTTCTCCACAATCCTGTCCCCCTCCTCCCTTGCCACGACAGCTTACCCTGCAGCGCCGCCAAGATTCCCACGATGCCGGTCCCCGCGCCCAGCTCGATCACCTTCTTGTCCCGAAAGTTCACATTTTGACTGTCGAAATAGTTGCAGAGGCTCAGAGCCTGAGGGAGGGAGGGAGGGAGGGAGGGAGAGGGAGAGAGAGAGAGAGAGAGAGAGAGAGAGAGAGAGAGAGAGAGATTGAGACTTGAAACATCATGCTGAGGGGAAAAG